GATTACCTTAATCCAGAGTTCACACTAATACTAAGGTAAATTTCAAATGAGTCAATAGTTTTAATGTAAACGTGAAAGCATAAAAGTAATAGAAGAAACAACGGTAGAATTAATTTATAACCACAAAGTAGGGCTTTCTATCCATGACACAAATTTCAGTTAAAAGGCTGATAAATTTGACTACGTGAAAAAGAATGTACACAGTAAAAACCATTAGGGAAAAGTTGTTTGCAATTCATCACAAATGATAAGCAACATTTCCTAGTAAATAAGGAAGTTCTAATAATTGATGGAGAGAAGACCATAACCCAGAAGACAAATGGGTAAAGGATATAAATGGACTGTTTATAGAAATGGAAATACAAATGGCTCTTAAACATATGAAAGCTTATTTAGTCTCATTCACAATAAATTCTCCCAAAAGAAATTTTTCTTTTGATGTCTACTATGTTCCAATAATATTGGCCTTCTGGGTATAGGAGACACAGCAATGAGCCAAACAGAGATCTCTGGTCTCACTGAGCTTACGTTCAGGTGGAAATGCAAATTAAGGCTACACTGAAGTGCCATTTTCATCTACCAGACTGGTAAAAATCCAGAAGTTTGCCATCACACTCTGTAGCAAGGGGCGATAGGCCCTCTGCACTCTCATACTTTGCTAAGGTAAACAGGGAGGCTAAAGTGGTACAACTTCTGTGATATGAAATTTGGTGATAACTATCACAGTTACACATGCATAAGCCCTTTGAGCCAGCAATTCTATTTCTAGGAATTTCTCCTATGGATTACTTACATAGGAGAGAAATAACGTATGTGCAATGTTTATTGCTAGTGTGTTTGCAATATGAGATTAGACACAATCTAATAGGAGGGTGTTTGAAGACAGGATGATACATCCATACTATGGAATACCAGGAAATTGTAAAAAAGAATGAGGAAGCATTTACGGGGAAAGATCTCTTAGACCATTAAATATACATACATATATATGTATAGTATGCTACCAATTGTGTAAAGAAAGACAAAAATAACATGTGTACATATAAGTGTATAAATCTATCTATCTATCATCTATATTTCTATCCACAAAAATCTGAAAACCTTGTTTGTGGCAAAGGAAGGAGAGAAGGGAAAGAATTATGTGATGTGGTAGAAAGCAGTTGTCTGTAGGAAATGGGGTAAGAGGGAGACATTTTGAATATCCCTTCATAGTTTATAAAATTTTAATCATGTGAATGTATCTTTTATTCAGAAAATTAAGTCCAAAAATGTCTTTTTTATTAAATTTTTTTCTAATTAAAAGAATATACCTCTGAGGGATGGTTTGACAGTATTTCTCATTTGGTAATCTACGCCAGTGTTTCATCATCTTCATGAATAAGAAGCATGATCTTCTTTTTTTTAATGCATGTAGAAATTTTTAAAAATTAAAAAAAATTTTGATAAGCATCATAATCTTGATTACCCTTAAATCTTCCTTTTTGATTTGTCTTCTTAAGAAGCAGCTACTCAAACTTCTCTTTAAATTATAGGTCACCTCATTTCCATTCATGTCCAAGGCTTTGTATAAAAAGTAGAGACATCTGTGAAGCAAAAACCACATGTATTATGTAAAACTCAAGTTTCAATATAAAAACTAGAAAAGTAAGGCCCCAGATCCCAGTGGAATGAAAGAGACACCATATGCCATGGGCCTGAAATTTCATCTCCTACCTTGAAGTCAGCTGCAGATAATATTAGAAGGATTTGATGTCACATAGTCCTAGAAAAGGAGGACAGATTAGAATTCATCTGATTTGGAACTTGGCTTCTTGGTAAAATTCTCCCTGAAATCAAAGATGGTATTAATAAAAATTCTTAGGGACCTATTTTAACAAAATGCAAAGAAGAAAATATTTGCAGTCAGTTTCCATACTAAAGTTCTTTTCTTTCTACTTGGCATTGCATGTAAAAAGTGTTTTTCTCTACTTTGCTCCTGTAACCATGCATCAGGTCTAGAGCTCAGGAAGTGGGGGGAGAGGAGAAATGAAAGAAACAGAATTAAGAGAAATGGGTTAACGGTGTCACAGTTGTAGGCAGGAAATTTAGGGAGTGATGGAAACTGCCAATATCCTTGCTAGATGGAGGGCATTGTTCTCTTCGCATGTTGGAAAATGTTGTCACCTGTTTTTGCATTGCTATTGACTAAACACAGACTAGAACAGTTCTCCTTCTTAAAAAATAGAGACCAAGCAGAGGGTGCCCTTGACTCAGGTCAAGAAAGTGCTTCCCCCAATACCGGAACTAGAAGTTATTTCCACGGTGCATCTGCAAGATCAGTATACACGGTGAGTGATGATTCGGCTTTACTGATGATTTACCTTTGTTCATTATAAACGTGAAAGATCCAAGGAGGTACAATTTACCCCAACCTTCATTTCTATCTGGGAGTAGGAGACAAAAAGTGATGAACTTGCAAAAGCAGTTCATATGAATTAGATGACATGAAATAAAATCACTATTTCTTCCAAGGTCTAATAAGGACCAAAAAACTAATCTCTTAGTCTGTTAAACAGCATGTGCCCCTGAGATGTCAGCTCAGCCCTTGGCTGTTTCCTCGGGTTGGGTCATACATAATCCCAGCAGAGCAATCGTTGTTTCAGTCGGAACATGAGAGGAGAGAGAATGTGAATTTATAAGCAGAACAACCACTGACCCTCAATTACTGAAATTAAGAACTTCCCTCAATGTAACATCTGATGATCTAATTAATGTGCATTGATTTTCATGTACTTAAATCCCAAACTGTGGTCAGAAGTGTCTTAGAAATATTTTTCATTCATTCAACACATTTATTAAGTAGCTATTATGTTAAGGCACTATAGATAGCTATTGTAGGGGGTATAAAAATTAGAGAAGAGGGGAGACACTAGCATTTATCAGTATCCTTTTATTGTGCTTCATGGTGATAGGCTAGATCATTTACTTGTCTTTATTTTTTTTCAGTTTCAGGTGTAGAATTTAGTGATTCAAAACTTACGTACAATACCTGGTGCTCATCACAAGTGCCCTCCTTAATCCCCTTCACGATTTCCCCCATCCCCCCAACCTACCTCCCCTCTGGCCACCAACTTTGTTCTCTAAAGTTAAGAGTCTCTTTCTTGGTTTGCCTCTCTTTTCTCCCCCCATATTTGTTTGTTCTGTTTCTTAAATTCCACATATGAGTGAAATCGTATGGTATTTGTCTTTCTCTGAAAGACAAAATATGTCTTTGACTTATTTCGCTTAACAATACTCTCTAACTCCATCCGTGCCACGCAAATGGCAAGATTTCATTCTTTTTTTTTTTTTTTATGGCTGAGTAATATTCCAGTGTGTGTATACCACTTCATGATACATGATACCTAGGTAGTTATCAGTCAAGATTCTAGCAGGAAACTAATAGTATACTCAAATGGAATCATTTGAGGTGAGTTTAATAAAAGGTCTATTAAGTCAGGTTGTGGAAAAATCCAAAAGGAGAGTGCAGCACCCTCAAACTAGTAACAGTGGGGCTCTGCTACTGTCCCTAAGACTAAAGGGGCAAGGAGCCCAGAGAGACAGAGACAAAGGCAGGCAGGCAGACACACACACACACACACACGCACACACATGCACGTGAGCGCACGCACACACACACACACACACACACACACTGATGGACTATGTTGGGAGAGCTACCTGATAGGGACTGTGACTTTTAGTCAAGTGACAACAGCCTGTGATTGCCCTGAAGAGAGAGAATATTTCACTTTGGCTGTTCTCTTTCCCCGATGTGCCAGTACTTACCATTGGTCAAACCCAAGCAGAGCGAGGACACTGGAGCTGGATTGAGGCAGTTCATACAGATTGGCCTCCCAGGGTACCAAGCAGGGTGGGGAAAAAAATGGAGTGCAGATCTAGAGAGGCAAAGGGATCAAGCGTAGGTGGCTCAATATGTCAAACTGGAAACTAAGTGCTAAGGATATATTTGTGTTCAGGACTAGAGAGAAGCAGGCCTTAGTGTTTGGGTCTTAGTGGAATCAGAGTCTGCTATTGGCTCAGAAATTGCTAGGTAGACTAATGTAATCATAGAGTTGTTTTAATGAAATATTGTGCTTGATACCTCTCATTCTGGTCCTCCTCATTCTGGGATGCTTGACCTTGCATATGAAGAGATCCCCTTTGCTCATTCACCTAATGTTTTTTGAGCACTTACTGTATGTCCAGAATTCTGCTACTCATTGGCAAAATAACATGCAGTCAGTGGAGAAATCAGATTGAGGAATCTTAATTCCAATAGAGAGCCAATAACATGATAGAGGTATTCATAGGGGACTCAGGGAGCATAACGGAGAGACCCCCTCATTCAGAGGAAACGCTGCCTAGCATTTAGTAGGTGTTCAATAAGTATATGTTGAGTGGATGATTAAATCCCAACTTCTACATCTCTTTAAAAGAAATTTGCATGAACACTTACACTTTCATTTTATAGAAAAGGAAATTAACCCAAACATACTGTAGTGACAGAAGCTCGAGGAGACCCTATGTTTCCTGGGTCCTAGGCTGAGAAGTTTGTAACCACTAACCACAGAGTCTTCCTAGGTTTATAACGGAGGCTCTATTGCCTAACACAGTATTGGAAAGAGCTCTTAATCAGTGATATTGGGGAGCGCCTGGGTGGCTCAGTTGGCTAAGCATCTGCCTTTGGCTCAGGTCAAGATCCCCGGCTCCTGGGATGAAGCCCGGCGTCAGGCTCCCTGCTGAGTGGGGAGTCAGCTTCTTCCTCTGCCCCTCCCCCCACTCATGCTCACTCTCTTATGCTCTCTCTCTCACAAAAAAATAAAATCTTAGAAAAAGTGATATTGGGAAGTTTTTAGGTATTCTTATAACACACAGTTTTAATAAATGATTTAAAAAAATTATTCTCCACTAATTCTTTTCAGGTAATACTTAACATTTTTGTGGTAATAATATTTGTCTTTTTTTTCTTCAATCTTCAGGGTATCCTTCTGAATTCCTCTGGACCATTTGGACTGAACCCTTTTGAAGAATACTCATAACCTCATTTTGGGAATGAGTTAACTAGTAAATATATGAGTCCAGCTGAGGATTCACAATAGGAAACAGTAGGAACGCTGACTGGTTGATGAAAACTGGCTCAAGAGCATTCATTTGACCCATGAGATCAAAGAAATGAGAGTTTTTTCAGGAAGCCATCATGAGTCATGGAAAACAAGCTGATGAAACCCATGGAAACAACAAGGGAATGCTCACTGTCTTTGCTTATCTGTCATTATACAGCTTACAGTGGCCCCAAGATTTTGATTTTGAAAGGAACTAAAACCAGGGTCAAGGATGAAAATCTTTTCTCTCATTTGCCCACATTGCAGATTCTAATTTGATGGGTTTTCCTATACAGATGGATTGTTTCTATTTGGCAAATTACTTAAGAGGGCCTGGGTTGTTCGTTTATACATTTGTTTGGATTTATAAATGTTGCCTCCTTTTGGCACTGAGGATGTTCTAAAAAATTTCAAAGATACCAAAATAAAATGAATTTAAGTGAAATACTAAATGAAACGAGTATTTAAATCTAGTAGCAAAATGTTTCTTCTGATTCTTCTTGGTGTTTGTATTTTTCAGAGCTATCACTGATGTCAAGAGTAATTATAGTTATTAATTACAATAAAAGCACATATAGACAAGAGGGCATCTCTCAACATTGAAAAATATAAAAATATCTTTCCAGAGTTAAGGTGGAATTTAATCTCCTGGCATCATTATAAGGTTACACTTGCTTGTCTGAGCAGATTTCTAGAGTTTAACTGCAGGGTCAGATTTACTATTAAGCAACCTAACCGGAATGAATGATTCAGCACAAAGAGGTTTTTCCTGTTACTCTTCTTCTTTTCTTTCTTTTTGCTAGATCACAAACTGAGATTCTAACCATAACATTTAGGGATTGAAGATTTGGCAAATGGAATTCTAATAGTCTCACTTTTTATTGTCTCTGTGAACTTGATTAATAGGTGAGTCAGGCTCAGGTCTGGGATTATTCAGCAGGAGTTTAGGGGTATCACACTCCATGAGGGATGGATATTATACAATTTCTGAGAGGCCAAATTATTGTTTCCTTGCACATTGCCTATTATGTTCAGACAAATGACTTGAAAATCAGTGGGAACTTGGCTTACAAAAGGCATAAATTAAGCTTCAAATTCTGTTAAATTGTGGCAGCTCTCTGGAAGCTAATTTCACTTATTTATTGAAATAATAGACTTTAATAGATAGTGTGAAGCAATCGAACATTGTAGATGGCCTGCTGTCTGCCTCCAAAGAGTCTATAATCTGGTAGAGGAGACAGGGCATGCATACTACTAGTGATAATGCTAGACACAGTAGGGTAAGATAAATGTCACGTACAGGCTTCACACTTCTTTCTGAGAATTCACGGGCCAGTGAGTCATATCTGGTTCGGGGTAAGCAGGGTAAGCTTTTCAAGAAAGTGTGTGTAAGCTGCGCTGAAGATGGTTTTTCTTGATCTTTCAGAAGAGGTCAAACTTCCCAAGTATACACTTTCTCAGCCCCCATAGCCCTTTTCATATCTGTTATTTATACTTATTTTTATGGTTATTAATTAATTCCGTTGCCCTTTCTAGACTGATTCTGCTCACCATAATATTCCTGGCAGCTGGTATGATGCTTGGTTCACAGAAGCTTCTTAATACATATTTGTTGGAACAAAACCATTTACTGAGCCCCCTGTACATCAGGCACATGCCCTGTAGAGTTTCACTTCTTCCTTATAATGACTCCTGGAGACAGGTGTCATTGTCCCTAAGAACCTCACCAATTTGCCTGTGGTCTCAGGAGTGACATGTGGATTCAGTCCTAGGTTGACGTGTCTCAAATATGCTTTTGTACCTACTCTATACTTAATAAGACCAAATTTTACAAAAGACAAATATCATATGAATTGCATTTTCCTTTCTTCCTCTTTCAGTAGATAGCTTCTCTCTTTTGCTCTCCCAACTATACTTCTTTCCCTTCATGTAAAACATGGTAGAATAAAGACTTGGGCTCAATTTTTTTGTCAATTTATTCTCATAACTTGACTTTGATTGCTTCCTTCCCTGTTTCTTTTTGATTTTACTTCTCTTTTCTGTCTACATCTTTCATAATCATCCCTAACTATTGGTGCTATTCTGATGGGTGGTGATCTTAGGACAATGAGTGGAAGGAAGGTCTTATATTTTTAAAATCTAAATAACGTATGTTATCAATTAACCTAGAGATATGACAACCAAATCTTTGGCTGGGTTTAGAAACCCCTCTGTGAACTGGAAATCATGTACTTTAGTAAAGACAAAGTAGTCTAGACGTTTCTGTGATTTGAAGGACAAGATGAAGTGTACATGCATGGGAAGGGGAAAATCAGGACATTTTGGTAAAAATATACTTCACAAAATCCTCTGGATGAGTTATTTTCCTTCCTGAGAGTTAAGGCTGTTCCCAGAGGGAAATATGGATTTAACATGGCTGCTTACTGGAAGAAAATCATTTTGTGGGCTATCAGTTGAGACACTTTCATCTGTAAATAATAACAGACCCAAGTCAAAATGCCTTAAATGATAAGATGTATTCTTACCTAACAGGAATTCTGAGGAGAATGCTTCCAGAACTGGTGAATTCAAGACCTCCTACCAAATGCACCCAGGTTTTCCCCCGACTTTCCTCTCTGCCATCATCTGACTTTTGTCTTCAGGGGTTCCCTCTTGTGGTTCCAAGAAGAGATGAAATGGTGGTGCCAGAGCACCAGCGATCATCACATGCTCAGCCCACAATGTCCTTTTTAAGAGTAAAGAAACCTTTATAAGAAGTCTTCCCAGATTTCTCCTCATGTCAGAGCATCTAGAATTGGATCATGGACATGCTCTTAAACCAACCAATGACAGGGGGGTATGGGACCATCGTGACAAATTTAGAAGTATCCAGATTTGCCTGGTTCTTAAGGAGGGGAGAGGAACTGACCATCAGAATCAAAACAGGGCTCTGCAAATATGGAAGAGGAGGAAGACTGGCAGGTGCCTCTGGGCACGTGCCTCCTCAATTCCAAGGAAATGTGCAGAGAGAAACTGGCTGAAAATAAAACCAAGGCTTGGTTTCTCCCCCAGAACAATCTCCTGTAACGTGCTAAGGCTATTCTTCAAGCATGTGTTGTTGCCCAAACTTTCGCGAAGAGTGTACGCAAAGTTGTCATGGTGTCATAATCTCCCTGCAAAGTTTTATTTATTTTCAGATGGACTGTAAAAATAGCCCATCTGTTTTCACACGGAAGAGTGATATCAGGGTGTGATATTTATTACAAGAGCAGGCACAACATCCGTCGTGAAGAGCCACATAGTAGTCATGATCTTTCTTTCATACCTTATGCCAATTTCCTCTTAGTTACCTCTCACCCACGGAATGATGTCTTGATGGGACTGTAAATCAAAGTTTCTTGCCCATCAGCCAAGGGGTGACATGTGGCCAGAGCTAAACCAATTTGATCCTCCATGTCAGGACTTTGATTTACAGGTACAATGACATATGGGTGGAAAAAAACCGACTTGGGCTTATTCATTCCAGCAGCAGAGTTGAGTCATTCCAGCTTTTAGACGCCCCAGTACACCCCAAACTCCCACCAAACTGCCTTGGTTCTGAGACTGGTTCTCCAGCCTTCCCTTTGATTCTGTGAGCTACCAATAATATCTTTGCAAAGATCCTTTTCCTGCTTAACTTTCCAGACTTGGCTTCTGTTGCCTGCTGAATATAACATCTAACATCTACTTTATTTCGTAAAGTCAGGATGTCTGAGCTGTAAGAAATCTTAGAGATCATCTGGTTAATGCCCTCATTTTCCAGGTGAGGAAACCAAAGCCCCGGAGGTTGAGGGTTTCAGCCAAGTTCATTTCGCAGACTGTCCGTGACAGAACTGAGATTAAGACAAGGTCTTCTTTGCCCAGGATCCTGGAGTCTGCTTTTTATTTTAATTCCTTTTTAGTACAAACCACAGCCTCCTTCTCTGTCTTTTCTCTCTCTCTCTCTGCAATGCTTAATAGAAAATAGTGGCCTAAAAATCTTCATTCTCCCCTCCCCCAACTGACAATTTGCTTTGTACTGTTTAAAAACTTGTTTCAGAGATAGTCATTTCTGGGATTTGGCATCTGGTAATGACAGGCATCAGTTTATATCCTTATATGGAGCCCTGATTCTTCCCAGCTATCTTTAAATGTTTATTTTCCCCTTACATGAAAATAATGTTGGGAAAGGAGGTGGTTTGCTCTGGGGAAGTGTATGGGCTGGGGTTCTCAAAGTGATTACTTACCACTAACAAGTCTGACTTCTAGCTGTGTGCATTTGGGGAGAGGCTTCCTACCTGCACATTAAAAGATATATATCCGCTCTATCTTTTTCAGTTGTTTAGGGCAGTCATAGCTCATACAATCACTGCCTAAAGGGCCAAATGTTGGGGTAGGACTTGGGGAGGGGATTAATAATAATACAGTAGTCTCCTCTTATCTGTGGGGATATGTTCCAAGACCCTCAGTGGCTGCCTGGAACAGTGGATAATACCAACCCCTATGTATATTATGTTCTTTCCTACACATATATACCTCAAGTTTAATTTCTAAACGAGGCACAGTAGGAGATTAACAACGATAACTAATCACTGAAAACAATTATTAACAATATACTATAACAAAAGTTCTGAGAACATGGTGTCTCTCTTGAAAAAACTCACCGTACGGTACTCACCTTTCTTCTTGTAATGGTGTGAGATGATAAAATGCCTCCTTGATGAGATGAAGTGATGTGAACGACTTAGGCCTTGTGATGGAGCCTTAGGTTACCTTTGGCCTTGGGCTGATTCATTGGGAGGATCGTCTGTCTCCAGACCACCGGTAACTGATCCCAAGGCAAGTGAAACCCTGGATAAGGGGGAACGGCTGTAGCAGTAATTATGTGCCCGCCGCTATTGTAAGCACCTAGCAGGGATTAGTTGATGGGTTTTGTCTCATAACTAGCTGTCTCATAACTCACAGCTGTACATTCTAGCCCCCTTTTGGAGAGTTCCAGTGCAGAGTAACAGACTAAAACGTTTTCCATGTCCCTGTAGTTTAAAAAAATGTAAAGAAAAAGGTTTACTGACGGTTAAATACAGTTCTCAGGAAAATCTTTTCCTTTTTCCTTCCCAATTATCCCTAAAGACCAGTATTGAATCAAAAGGTAAGGACTATTATCCATCACCCCAATCTACAGGTGAAAAAATTAAGGGAAAGAGAGGTTAAGTAACTTACTCAAGATCATGCAGCTATTAAGTGGCAGAGTTGAGGGGACCTGCAGTGGGTTAAGTCTCTGACAGGCTCAGGTCATGATCTCAGGGTCCTGGGATTGAGCCTTGCCTTGGGCTTCACACTCAGCGTGGAATCTGCTAGAGATTCTCTCTCCCTCCCACTCGTGCTCTTACTCTCTCAAATAAATAAATAAATCTTTAAAAAAAGTGGCAGAGTTGAGATTTGAACCCA